TTCGACGCTGGGATGGTCGGATTTTGTCAACATCAATAAAATGCCAAATAATCATACTTAACTCATTAAATATCGAAATTAGAAGAAGAATTCACTATTTTTAATTATAGGAAATGCGTTTTTCTAAGGTACATAAACTTTTGAGATTGACTGTATAGCCAATACATCCTTAACGAGCTAAGAAAAGGGAATTTGGATTCGTCAGCGAAGTATCTCAAACGGTTGAACATTCGTCAAGCGATTGGAGCAAACTAAAAGAGGGAACATAAACCTTCTCTCCCCATCTGACGTCGATCGGATCTATAGAAAGGTAGCAGCCAGGGTTTGCTCGAGTTACGAGCGTGCGTTAAACCGATGCAATGGAAGCTCCTCTTTTCCATAGGGTGGACTTATGACGGTCAAGGCGGCCTGGCCGGATAAAAGCTCGCGAAATAAAGCAACGACCTCCGTCGGGAGGGAGAGAGGATGATTGAAAAGGAGAGCGAGAGAAACGCAGATCGAAGGTAGAGCGGTGGACCAAAGCCATTTTAACGGCGGAACGTGGTCGTGGAAAGGAAGGTTGCCACTTTCGTTCGGTCGTTAATACGAATTTTAATCGCTCGTCGTAAAGAGGTCGAGGCGTCGAACATATTCGACGGGGGGATTTCGCGCTCGTTCGAGCAATAAAGATGCTTTTATTAAATCTCGCTGTTCCCGGTCGATGCTCCGCGACGTCTTATCTACCTCCCCCGCTTTTGTTCCTACGCTGCACTAAAAACATCCGATGGTTTACGACACACCGTTCGTCCTGCGCCCCTTTATGGTGATCGTGACGACTCAAAGGACAGCATCGATGTACATACATCCCTCTATAAGCATTAAGACCTATCCTTAAACGTAAAACCGAATGAAAGCTATCAATGGCCAAATGTATGACCAAAGTAATACGTGTAGTAAATGAATGACCAAAGTAATACGTGTAGTAAATGAATGACCAAAGTAATACGTAAAATTCTGTTTCACAGTTCATAGCTGCTTTCTTTCATTGAAATTATTCATTCACTGTATCTGTATAACTACTATAAGATGAATGGCACGTAGGCTCATAATTAGAAATATAGATAATGATGGAGACCAGATGCCCAGGCGTTTGGACCCCGAACTGTTTGTTTATAATAAAATTATTAACGGAATACGTGTTCCCCACAGTTGGTGATGTCATGGGGCAGGACGCGGTCTCGATGAGGACGACGGGTTGGAGTGGAGTTTTTAATCAACTGACCAGGATTCACCGTCATTTCTGCGGTGTATTGTTTAATAAAGCTTAATTTTCAAGACGTAGCTTGTATCTCGTGAAACGTAGACTCTTACACTACCATATTATTTGCTTGTCTCTGATGGTTACTAGTTTGAAATAGTCATCAGACTTTTTGGTAGACAATAACCACTTGGGAGTGTATCTATGGTTTTCGAACCGCAATGCCAGATTTAGACGTGAACGGACGCTCTTTAATATCAAACTGGTTTGTTTAATGACCCCGTACTTTTTTTTACCGTCCCGTTATACCGGCGAGGCGGATCGTAACAGTACATACCACGCATGATAGGTAGGTATTGTAAAACATTGAGACCCGACGATGTGTCGCGTTTGATTACCCTACGACTTGACAGTCGCGCCATTTGATTCCAACGAAAAATTCGTCTTATCCACGCCCCGCTGGCATGACAGTTATCAGCGAATTATACGTTCACCGTGGACTTATCGAGGATGAAGTCAAAGAAACATTGAACCGGGAAGCAGAATTTTAAGCAGGGAGAGAATGAACGAAAGTTTAACTTGATCGCACTTCTATACATGCACTACCCTTCACAAGAAGTGTTTGATCAAATGTATAATAGATAACATATAACAAAATAATATAAAATGAGATTTTGCAGAATTTTTATGCAAAACGAAATATTTCTCAGCATGCTTTCAGCTTTCGATATTCTTTACATAAGCAGACTTTATACATATGTTCTGCAAATTCAGGTAATAATTGCAAAACTGCAACATTCGAATAAAAATCAATATATGAAACAATTGATATCCTGTATTTGTTTTTGAAACGTTCTTAACAAATATCATATTTCTGCAATGATAAAAAGAATCTCTACCAATTGCATTTTACATGCTCTTTATAATCTGGTTTCAAGAACGCATCAATGTTAATACGAATCATTTGACCTATCCTCCTTACGTCCACCTACCACTTTTCGTATTCATAATCATTCGAGCAACAAAGGAATACGTTTGTACGACCGACGGCGGTGAACTTTCGAACAATGCTAATGATATTCTGACACGAAAGACGTGTTTGTATAACAAGCCCAGCATCCGTGTCGATCGATCGAAAAATGCTTGTTTGCGAAAAGATGCGGACGATAACACAATGTCAAATTGACAGACAGGTTTTCGAACGTTCCAGCCACGCAATCTTAAATTACATATTCTTATATCTCGGGGATTAAACCCCCAAATAAAAAAAATTAACGTCTCATTATTTAATCTCTTTCATCTTCTTGAAACGAAACTCGCTGTGAGAATTTGCAACGAGTCATGAATTTAATTCATTACCTCAAACGAAATCTCTGTTATAAGAATGAATAAAAATACTCAAATTCATCGCTTGTCACGAGGCAAAACTCGTACGTGAGGCTTCTATCAATACGTTTTTTAAATTGAAGTTTGTTCAACGGTAAGTTTGCTTGATCGACTTTAATAAACTTACTGCAAACCATGTTGATCGTACTAAAAGCATTCGGGTATGAAAAGTTCGTGATTGACACTTGTTTAACAGTTTTCACGATTGACTTTGACAAAGTTACTGCAAAAGCATATGGGATTAAGAGAATCTGCGGAACATAAACGGTTCCAAAGTTTGCGTCGGGTGCCGTGTATGCCGGAAGGCGGCTGGTGCCGGCAGCGGAGCCGATTAATCGGCCGGGGAACCAGTTTGTCGGAAATAAAATCTGGTCGGTGGAATCGTTGCTTGACCGTAGGACGTCAATGTGGCGGCCTTCTCGTTTTAAAAGCGTGCCTTGCAGGGGCGCGTCGACACCACCACCACCGGCGCGCTTCTCCGGTCTGCGGTGCATCCTCTGACGGCAGCGTATCATCGCTATCATCGGGGCTTCCCAGATCGTGCATGCCGCTCGCGTGTGTCCGATCGAAGGGGATTCTTCGTCTATATACCACTTTAGACTAGCCAATTTTACGGTTACTTACTACATCAACTATAGTAACAATCATTAAAATAAATTTAGTATCAATGAATGTATGAATTGTTGTATCAAATTTGGTGCCAATCATTAAACGAAATATACACAGAAAAGTTTTTATCAAAGTCAATCAAGAACTCTGTATTCCCAAATGCTTTTAGGAACACTCATTGCATCAATCATTACGTGAAATGTTATAACAAATATTGTACTAAAAATTCCAACGATTATTATATGAAATAATCCAAGTATAGGACAATATCTATGAACAATAGGTGAAACGATCAGTAGAAAATTGTCCTTCGAGGCGAGCATTTCGTCATTGTCTCCTCCGTACGAACGTGCCTTTCTATGTACGGAAATGTGACCGCGCGCCTTCACGCTTGTGAACGTATCCCTCGCGCTTCGTCGATCGTACGTTTTCAAACGCTAAAATAAACGCTTACGTCGCGGAAACTTATACTCATGAAAAAATGCCCCCGTAATCTCGCGCGTCGGCCGACTATCAAACACGCATTTCGCGCTTAGAAAACTCGATCCGTAGCGCGCGCGTTCTTTCTTTCAACAACTCGCAGGATCTTGCAAAATAGTTTGAAAGACACGGTTCCAAACGTCTAAACACGATACGCATACCGTGTCGTTAATCACACGAAACAGAACTACGAATCGGAGCTGAAAAAATATTTCATTACGGTAATACGTTTCATAAGAGTAGCCGCGATAGTCATGGTAGAACGGCGATAATTAATTGGCAATTGAAAATGAAATTGCGCATACAAGCGTAGGTACACAAAAACGTGCAGTGACAACGTTCTTCATGGTCTCTGACGCAATTCTTAACGTTACAGTTGCGTTATTATATCTGTTTTATGTAGAAAACTATCGATCGTTGATAACAGCAGCCGAACAGTTTTATACTCAATGTAAACGAATGGATAAAAGTCGGAGAATGTGTTCCTGCTTAAATGAGTAATCATTTTAACCAACGAGTTAGGTTTGACGACGTCGCTATTGCAATTTTAAGAATGAGGGTGGTTATCTTGACACGCGTTTCCCGTAGGAAATTACGGTGAACGGAATGCCGAGAGTTCCGCGCGAACGGATACTCTGATCGGACAAATGTAGATCGCGAGATTACCTGGCGGCTCGCGACCGGCCACCTCGATCGCGCCTGCTACCGAGAATTAATGCCGCACACTTTTCACATTGCGAATCGTGCGCTTATCTCCCGAGTCGGCTTTTGTAGAACACATACTCATATCCTACTTTTCTGTTTCGTTATTGCACATTGAATAGATTTTATCCAACGTATATCGAATGGCAAACGAATCGTACAAAATAATTCCATGCATCGTTTATCGATGGCTTTAGAAACAACCGACACGAGTTTGAAAAACTTGAGAGTAGTTTGGAAATAAAACATTTACCTACAAGCCATCGATCTATTAATCTGTTCTTATATACAAAACTACGTCTGAACTTTCCCGGTGTACGAATTAAATAGGCTTCGTTATCTGTCATCAAGAACTGATGCCAAAGGTTAAGGTGAAGCACGACAAAAGGCTTTCAGCGAAACGGCTGTATAACGTTTGACGCAATTACTGATCTTGTAAAAGATCTTTTATAAAGTCATCTTAGCATGCGTTGAACGATACTTGAGTTATTCGCGAGACAAGACATGCCCCTTGAAAGCACGAGAAGAAATAGACCCGTGATGTTATCGTTACGACGGACATAAACAATCGTGTTGAACAACTCACCACCAGTTGGCTTGCGCACCATTTTGCCACGCGACGAACAGCAACGGCACGAGGAAGAAGATCGTCAGAATGGGCCGCATCTTCGGTTACGATTCGATGGCCTCGGTGACTCTCGTTTGATCGTTGGGATCGTTCGACGGGGAAAAGAAAAGAAAAGACAAGGTCGCACCGTCGTCGCGTCGCTCCCGTTTCAGCCGCGCATTCTTACGAGCGTCGATATCGATCGGTGATTCGCATCGACTAGTCGATCCCGAGGCTGACAGATCGAGATCGAACGTTGTCCGTGATCCGATACGATCGCTGGTGTCCGACGTATGCTTCCAGTTACAGAACACGACGGCTTGCTTTCTCTTTCTTTCTTTCCCTTCGACCGTGCGTCGTTTTCCTTTTACATGTTTCTCGTGCCGGATGGATTACAGATCTCGCGATCGACGCGCGTAAACCTTGCCAAAAAGGACGCGATCTTTGTCCTGCCGCGCACTCTTTTTACCACAACCGCGCTTTTTCGCTAAACGGGACGTTCAATCGTTCGAATGACTTCGGGGAAGAAGAATTCGCGTCCCGTCGCGTGAAAAATCGGAGTACGTCGAATACGTGAAACTCGTTTCAAGAATACGAAGCCGACACCGAACGCGATGACACTCCGTGAACGTTCGCGTACGTACTGTGGCCGGTAGTCACGAGGAAAAGGGCAACGGGGCTCTCTAGATGGGCGGAGCCTCCGGTCACTTGCGTGCACAGGATTGGCTGTACCACGGAAGAACCACCGAAGCTCCACTCGCGTTAATTACGCATTTCGGCACCGAGATTCACGCGTAATCACGCTTGCTCGCGATTCGTTCATGTACCGCATTTGTTTTCGCAACTTTCCACGGATACCTGCATCCACGAAGATCCGACAACCGACTGATTCAGTTTTCGATACGAAAAAGGGTAAGTTTCATTGTGGATCGGTCGATAAAGATCGATTCAATATTCTTGTGATTATCGAATGATATTTCGTCCAGGTGACGAAGTTGGCTGATTGTCAGTTTCTCGATAAAATCGATTTTGTCACGATGGTCGAACTGGCAACGGTAAAGAACAATCACGTCATATCGAAGCACCGTTGTACTTGTCTAATATAGTATCACTTTCTTTGACACGAGACACAGTTGTCGAGCAAGAAATTGTAACTGAGAACGTTGTTTACGTTACGCGTACATATCGTGTATCACCGCCTTGTACGCAGTAGACTCGATCACCGTTTGTAAACAAATACTTTAGTCGTCGAGCAAGTGTCCTATCTGGAACATTGAACGCCAGCCGTCAGTTCGATTGAAATGACATTGTTCCGTGTGTTGGATACGCAGTTTGTTAATCGGCTTTTCATCAACGATTCATTCGAGACAGTTATCAGTCGACTATAATAATTTTAATCGGCGGAGTATGTCTCGTTTGAATAACTTTTGTTCGGTTTCACTCATGAATAGTGGCTCGTTGAAGTATCGGGGAATTGTTATCGCATAATGAGTGCTTATAGCTACAATGTATATTTTATTGCTAACAGTTTCAAATCAAAGTAAAGTGAATGATTATACTTTCATACGCGATGTCGATCAATTATTTCGTAATATATGAAGTATCTCCGAATGAAGTGCTACAAAGCAAGGTAACACTCGTCCTACAAATTTACCTGGCTTCGTCTGACGAAATGAAAATTCTGGGATTCAGATTGATGGTAAGTGTTTTATACTAATACGGCTAACATTTTTTACCATATTTCGGATTTTATAAGAAATTCGTAATTACTTTGCGTTGCTAGAAAAGTTGGAAAAATATGACGACATGAAGATCAATCGTATAATTGATGAAACGCATTTTAATATCAAAATTTTTATTGAACATGTTATGACTATTCATAATATAAAAAATATCTCCTCCCACGTATATTTCAAACTTGGGATAATCGTAGAAGAATCCTTTCACCAACTCTGTTGGTCATTGCCAATCGTGTATCGAAATTTTTACTACTGTCATATTTTTAAAGTAAAGTAGTCATTACGAAGAACATTTAGGACTAAAGTTATAATTTTAATTAAGAATTACCATAAAAATAATGACCATCGTTAATACGTAACATCAGTTGGTAGTAAAGAAATGCAGATATCGTCTCGTATATCGATTTTAAGATTCACGAACGGGTAAAGGTATTCTTAACATATATCGCTATGTTTAACAAAATCGGTTTTATTTTGCATGGAAAGAAATGGACTTTTCTTACACATACACTCAATGAACAGTAAACAGGTACTAGTCGTACATAGTGTTACAGTATGCGTTACATAAATATGCAAGGCACGTATACCTGTAATCTCTGATTACATCACGGGTACATAGTCAGTTTGACTTTTATTGCTTCACGACAATAAATTGCAAACTTTGAATCGCAATTAGTCATATCTATCGTTAAATGTTATGTACAAAACTAGAAATGTAGTATCCTAGTATCAAATAATTGGGATTTAATTACACGGTCGTAAATTCCGTTTGCCGTTGCGATGGATTATAATACAAACCAGCCATAGCTTCTTGTAAAGCTCTTAGGCAAGCGACGTGCGCCTTGAATCCTCCTGCCCTTTCGGCAGCCGATTCAGCGCGCACGTGAGAAACGTAGCCGCGAGATTGCAATTCTCTCCAACCAGGTGGCGTTGGACCATCGGTACCTTGTTGAATGGGGGTGTAAGAGTACAGAGGCCCTTCCTCGATCTTCGGCATGGGCATGTAATTCTGGCTTCCCTGAGAGCCGAATTTAATTCCTGTACTGAATTGAGTGACCTTAGGAGGAGTTGCTTTCATTTCCTTCTTTGACGCTTGTATAGCAGAGGCAAATGTTTCTACAATATTCTTTGCATTTCCTTCTGAATATGTTAATTCATCTATCAGCGCTTCCTTTTCCCGAATTTTTTTCCTTTTGGCTTCTACTTCCTCTTTAGCTAATTCTAGTTTTCTCTCTTCCTCCTTCTGTCTTTCCAGTTCAATCATCTCCTCCAATTCATATTCGCTTCTCCCAAGCTTTGACTTGCTCTTCGTTATTTGATCTTTATTGTCTTTCTTATATTGCTCTATCTTCTTATTTGTTTCGATCACATCAATGTTGTTAGCCAAATTATATATTATGGTTTCTACTTCTTCCAAGTAATCATTGTATTCTCTTAAAGTTGCGAAATCCTCTTCCTTCTTATTAAAATCTCTGAGAATTCTTTTCCTTATGTTTACTTCTTTTTCTACCATAGGGTCTTCAAATAATTGTACTCGAAAATTTGCTCTCCTTAAAGGAATTTTACATTCAGGGCAAGAGCCAGAACCTGTAACAATAATGTATAGTAAATTAATATTTTTCTACATCATGTAAGAGTAAAATAGGCAAAACATTTACGATCTAACCTTTAAGGAATAATAAATCGACGCAGCTCTCGCACAAAGTGTGTCCGCAAATGTTTACCATCATTTTCAATGATGGATTTCGATATTTGGTAGTTTTGCATCTTGGACAAGCTTGATCATCCATTTTCGCAAGATAGACAAAAGAGACAACTATTGAACTTTTAACCTCCCTGCTTCTAAGAACTACTGCTTGTTTTCGCAAACCGATCGGTTACACACGGGAGTAATTCATATTTACGATGTGATTCTAGCACAAATTTGAATCAACTGAATTGTTTAACGGAATTAATCAACGAAAATATGATAACATTTTTAAACTTCAAAGTCCCGATAAGAAAATCGTGACAACACGATTGTTTGACATAACCTGTAGTCAAAGTTGTCGTAGTAAGGGAATCTTGAATCTCGAACAGCGTTCGATATAGCAAGATCGAACGAGGGGTGGTATCGCAGCGTGCATGATCGAAATCGACAATGTTTATCGAAAACGTTCATAACCGCGATACAAACTATTCAACGCTTCTAAAACGTAAACTGCAATATCCCTATAAATTAATCGGCACCCATAACCCTACTTAGCTGATTAAAACGCAACGTAGCAATTTACGAGCGAGCCTCTAGCGTTACCAAGCATAAAACGCGAATCCAATTATAATTAATTACAACTACTTCGTTTCGAATTCCTTTATGAAACTTTTATGAAGTTAAATAAAATCAACGTGTATATGCGAAGAATTTACAACCGCGATTCCGTTTTCACCGCCCGCTTTTTAAGTATTCAAGGCGTAACCAAATTAGAAGATAAACTTATCGGAGATACGTGTACTGCATGTTACGTCCGGCAGTGAATTTGTCCTTTCTTTTTTCCACGGATCCCGATTATCACGCGCCGTTACGTGATTACCAAGGGAAGGCGAATGGGAAGAGAAAAAGGTATTTCTCTGCGGGAAAGGAACTCGCGTCGGGTCCCTTGATACCGCGAGAGCCAGGCTAACGCGTCTTTCACGCGTTCCGCTTCTAACGATTTGGGGCATCGATCTCCCTTTCAATTCCATCGTGTAAATTGTACATTAAAAGGCGGTAAGAAAGGGACACGATGCATGCCCATTATACTCGAAAGAACAAAAGAGGGTGGCGATGCTTTGCTGCGTCTCGCAAGGCTCTACCCTTACATCTTCCTCTAAACGGACGACGACCCATTATTCACTCCTTTCGCAAGACCGACTCCGACGTTCGGTGAAAAACGTCCGACGACCGCGACATTTCTTAAGTAAACGAGAGCGCCTAGTCAACACGGGAATACCTATCCGAGATTAGCCAAAATCTTGTTTCGACGGGATTTCCCAAAGTAAACGCACGCTACCCCGATGTTGTCTCGTTGCGGGTAAGTGTAACGTCTCCTCTCAACGAGAAATTTCCCGTGAATTTAACCGGATCGTTCGTGCATTGCGCACCGTATACAAGCGATTTAAATTCAAATTCGAAAGCTCTGTGTTTAATTAAAGAGAACCGAAAATCTGATCGCGAATTACGATTACGTTCAGCGTTTACGCTTTCCATGGCGAAAAGTGGAATATAATAAAGCGGCGGTCACAAATACCGCATAAACGGCAAATATTTGACCATTTTTGAAGCGTGCATTACGCGACATTCGATAGTCCGGGTAATCCAAATGGCTAAAAAACACTGGAGAAAACGGCCTCGTTTTGTTTACCGTCTTTTCGTACGATCGAAGCGATAAGCTCGATCCAGCCCGTTTACGTGGAAAACGATGCGAGAGACTGGCTCCGACCAACCCTCTCTCCCCCTTTCTCTCTCTCTTTCTCTCTTTACCTCTCCCTTTTTCTTTTTCTGCCCTGCGCTGCGCTGCATGAAATTTGTTGCGGTGCAAAAGCTGTGTTAGTGCGTCGTGTGTCACGTGTGTAAGTACGACAATGACGACAAGGACGTGGACGATCGGGTTGGCGTAGAATTCGATTCTTGACTAGAGGATGCTGCACGTTCACCCCGTATACATATACATGTACAGTGAGAGTCAAAAGTGAATAAGTGTATGTATCAGGTTCAAGCGGTATCGCTGTATTATTATAAAAATAGAGAGGCCTGATTTCTATCTTAATTCACATTCCTTTATGTTCTAGCTTTTATGCAGTCAAGGAATATTTTGATAGAAGTGTACCCGAGTGAAGAATGATATAAAATACGTATTACATATTCAATGTGGAAATTAATAATTGATTCTCAGAAGAAGGTATGATTAACTTGATTGTTTCTATAGAATCGCTGTTCTCTATTCAAAGACATATGAGAATATGACGGAGAGGTTTACGGGGAGCATATTAATTTCGTAATTTTGTGCAAGTTACGTAGACGATTTGTTGAATAAACTCTGCACGTCATCGCCGTGCCAGTCGCTTTTGACTCTCACTGTATAATAGCGCGGTGTGTGGGTGCCCGTAATAGAACTAAAGGGATACGCTTGCGCCGGACGATGTCTACCCCATCTTCCCGTTGACTTTGGGTGAGGGAAAGCGGGGCGTGTGCAAGGACAGATGGCAGGGCGTCTCTCCCGGGCCGTGTCGCATGCACTGTCAGTTTCGCTCGGATATTCGGTACACGAGTTTCATCGCGCCCTGTGCCCGCGATAGTCGCGCACCCCGTTTCGAACGCAACGAACCCTCTCTCTTTCTCTTTCTATATATACACACACACGCGCACGCACGTTCGCCTTTTTTCGTTCGCGTGTAAAGCACGAAATTAGATGGTCGTTTCCTCGGTTCGTTTCAATTTCATTCGCGCTCTGGTTGACAGAGAAACGGGCCTCTATTCGAGCGCGAGATTGTCCCCCGATCTCGTTGTCTGTCACGACAGAGGAACGAAATCGCTGGAATAGTTCGATTTGCATAATAGAATATATTTGACAAGGAAGCGAGACAGTGTGGATCCGTTCATCAGATGAATATAGTTCCCAGTCGTTTTCCTGTTTCAAAGAACGCAAGAAAAGGAATAGGGATCATCGAGAGAAAAGGGATCGTCGTCGTATCGCTGGTCAATTAAGCAGTTCACGGATAAAGGCATGTAGCGGGAAGACACGGGAGGTGGAGAAGCGGGACGAACGATTATGGGGAAGAAGTATCGAGGGCGATTTCTATGCATGTCAACGCTTAGATCGCGAATAGCAGAGACATAATGGCGACGTCGAGTGAAAAAGCGACGGAAAATCGACTGCTTATCGATTCGTCCGATACGTACTGTCGTCCGCGATTTTGATTTCCACGCGGCCGTTCTTCGCGACATGCTGTATAGAACGCTTGATTCCGGATTATCGCACCACCACGTCAGGGGAAGATCGACGCTCCGCGGATGGGATCGGTCGGGAATAATTGATAAGTGAAAGTCGCCGAGAGGGAAAGAGAAAAAACGCGATTGCGAGATAGAACACGGGCAAAATCCTTTTGTCTCTCGTTTCATCGCCTCTCAATCCACCCACGCTCTCCTCCCCCGGACCGCTCTGTGTCTGTCAGTGAAAACCGGAGGAATTGTGGTGAATTTTTTTTTTCGAAAACGCGACGGTTATATCGAGCGACATCGTGGATCGACTATGAGAGAGAGAAACAAAAAATGAAGGGTTTATTTTTTGCCCTGAGTCTATTGTTTTCGGGTAAGTGGAAATTCATCAACCACGTGCTTAACAGTTAGAGAACGGATTGTTCTTTGAATCGCCGAGCGTACAATCGTCAAGTCCGAACAACCGAGCTTTCCCTCCTTTGTTTTTATTTTTCCTAAACGGTATTTTCTACCAGACAGAGGAATTATCCATTTAAAAAATATTTGGAATAAAGCAACGGGTAATGAAATAAGTAGTCATTTCTCGCGTACGTTCGATCGCGGTTATAAAAGAGGCACCGCAATGTACGTCGCTATAACCGAGAGCGAATATTCTCATAATAGCCGGGCAGGTAACGCGACGGAAGGATAAAAATGTTGGGAACATTCGTTATAATAATACCGGGGCCCGTGGCGCGATACATTTTCCAACAGGGCTCGACGCGTAAAGTGACGGAACGGGGTTCCCCGGCGATAGCTCTGGTGCCACGTATTATGAGATAAAGTAGTTTCTGAAACTGCAGCGTTGAAACTTCACCACCTACTTTAATACTTTATCACGGAGTGCGGCGAAGGTCTATGTCCCGGTTGAAAGAGGGTGATACGAACACATGTATATCGTACCGGATGTTTCAAAAAAACTCGCTCCTTTCGAGTTACAAAATGCTTTCAATTACGAGCCCGTGACGCTAGAACAGTCTATTGCGTGTCGCCCTGAGACCTTAAGTCCTTAGGTCATGCGAGGTAAATACGCCACTAAATTACGTGGTCGTAGATAAATGACTACACGACACAGTAAATAGAAGAATATATGTTCGTATATACGTTCCCTTTAGTATTGCGATCAACTGATTCATTGTTCCAACGTCTCGGATGAACGAACGCGGTTTTTATCTCTATTGTCGCACGATATATCATTGCGAGTTATACCATTGTCTCATTTAGTTGTAAATAGAACGATGAAAACGTCTCGAAAGTACGTACTTCGAGCCGCGCTTATTATGACTCCTTCGCCTGTTTCGTCGAGTACCAAAGTTCCAGTCTAACTTTTTGAAACGTTCTGTAAGTACGTAACCGCGGCCTTTTACCGCGCTCCGGGGCACCACTTCGGGATACGTTAAAATGATTTCTTAGCAGTTCCGGGTCCGTAGATCGCACGCGCGTGAGGCTCGCTCGTAAACAGTTCGGAGTTAACGAAATTCCGATAACGAACGGCGAAACGTGGCGAGCATTTTTCTCCTCTCGGCTCGCGGTTACCGCCGTTAAAGCGGCTCGCGGTGCGGCGGAGCACGGGAAATAATCTTTCGGGTCAAAGAACAATCCACCGCAATCTGGAGATTGAAATGAGCCCACTGAGAGAGCCCCGACCCTCCACACTATCTATATACACATATTTCTGTCCCAGCGTGTCTCTCTGTGTACGTCGGTTTTGTCTATTTTCTCCTCTCGTTTTTTTTTTTTTTTTTTTTATCATTTTCAACTGTTTCTACTTAAAGTGCAAGGACTCGCCCGGAGTACGTCCGATCACGAGATGCACGAGAACAGGGTGCTGGAGCCGCTTGACCGTGGACCTTACTTCGACGTCTCGGCATCGAGGAACGTTACCGCACTGGTTGGCAAAACGGCTACCCTCAGGTGTCGCGTACGGAATCTGGGCGATCGCACGGTAAGCAATGAGAATCGATGACTAAACAGCACGGTCGACTGCGCGTATTACCGATTGCAACGCTGACCCGATCGTGCAGGCAGTTACGTTTATCTCGAACTTATCGTAACTTCCTGGCGGCCGTCATGTAATGTATGTATGTGGTACAGATATCCATTCTGCGTGGAACGGTTAATACTTTGCAAGCTTGAATAGCCAGAATTCACACTGTGACGTTTATAAAACGGGAAATGTTTAACATCTTTATCTCCGTGAAATTGGAAATGGTCGCTGGTAACGAGCCGTGTATCTCTTCGTATTAAAGAAGCGAATCACGTGATTCCTGATACTCTGCGAGATTATCAGCCGTCAGCGACGATGGGAATTCAATAACTCGCAGTGATTCTTCTCGTAATTACTTCGCTACCCGTAAACAGTCACAATAGCTGATACTAACGTAAGATCTATTATACGCCTCCTTTTAGAAGTCTTAGAAGACCAGTATTTATTGTCTACAAAATCTGACAAACATTCCAAATTAACGATCTTCAGAGACTGTACCAATTGGAGGATTATGGTAGATTATTAAATGAATTATATAGCTTAATCGGCTAACAAATCATATAATAAATTATATATAGTTTCAATAGAAGTCTGTTTCGAATGAAATTGCTGAATAATTTTAATGCAATAATTTCAATGAGAGGCATTAAAATTTGACAATTTGCTCATTCGTGCAATATTTCATTCGATTATAAATTTGACGATATATGAATTATAAATTTATGAACGAAGATAGTTTTTCTCAAAGCCCGTAACAAATTCGATTTCTTGATTATTCTTCAGATACGTATTCGTTATAAAAGCTAGCGAGTAGGGTCTGCCAATCGTAAAAACGGCGAACCTTTGCGTTAATACGGTGGAAAAAGAATGAATAAAAGCGGACAGCCGTGCATAATGCAACGTCGGGTACAATTTAAGTTGGCTCATCGAGGGGTAACTATGTAACGAGTCGAAGTACGCCATCGCAATACCGATGGACGAAAGAGCGAAGTTTCTCGTTACCGTTCTGTCGTTCGTTTTTACCGTTACCCACTGCCGTTCCCAATTTCGAAGAAATTTAAGTAAAACAGAAGGCATCGCTTTTCTACAATACGCGCGGGCGGAGAGCAGTTTTTATTTCGCGCGCTCCCTACGTCCCGTGCACCCCTTTGAACCCGCACGAGGACGACGGGTGCGCAGCTCGTTTCTCCTTTTTTTTCGCGAGACATCAATATAGGTCGACCCTATTTCACGTGCATTTAAATGCACGTGTATCGAACTCCGTACTTAAATCCGTGTAAATTTTAGCAGAGTACCGGAAATGTGTTGCAAGTCAGTTTCGTATATTCTCAGTATGAGTATAATCGTAAAGCTCATAGGTGGATAGGGCTAAATTAGGATAAGAGAAATTGCACATACGATTATGGAAGTATCTCTGATAATGTGCGCTCAGGACCAAAATCTGTGCGATGAAACAGAGCGCGATGCACGAGAGGTTTCCTGAGAAGATCCGTTCTCTTCCCTTTTGTTTCTGTTGCGTAGCTCGGGTAGAATTTTCTCTGTTCAAAGGAACAAATTACGTTGTCCTGAAGTGCGGCGCGTTGATGTAACAGGCGTATGAACACGAGAAAAAGATGACGCGGTACGGTAAATGCTCGGATCGGGTTTTCCATTAAGCTACTTATGTGATACTGTGCATAATTTATCATGCCACAGAGCCACGCCGGGTCCCTCTTCGTTTTTTCTTAAACCGCCGCGTCGCGTCCTCGCCGCGCGTGCCCGTACTTAAACTTTCAGGAGAACGGTATAATTCTCATTCAAGCCGGCGAGCTCATCTTGAATCAGCTTTAATTGCAAGCAACACTTTAAGCTCTACTTGAATTTTCGACGATCGCCTTGAGTAAGTGTGATTTCGAAATAATCCCGATGGATTTTCATCCGCGTTTATGAACAGGTAAAGAACATTTATGAATACAGGATATTACTTTGTAAGCTTTATTTGATGAAACGCTTTCTGCCGCGGTAGATTGATGAAATAACGAATGTATTTGAATACCGCGATCCTCTGGTGGTTAAGGATTCTAAATAGCATGCAATTTCTAGCCTATTTAAAAGCGCGCGCGGGCGCATATCCGAGGAAATACGGTTTAACGAAGTGGAACAACAAATGGCATTAAACCATCAGCGCGCAATCAATGACGCCCACTGCGAAGGCGTGAAGTACGACCGTTTTAACTGGACTCTATGACTACAGAGTGTACATCGAATGATGCATATTCAACGATTCTCGTGTTCAGAGACGTGTACGTGTGTCGCTTGGTGTAACACACGTGCGCGAGGTTCCGCGTACACAGGCAAAAAGTTTGTCACACCGACGGATAACGTTAATAATTATTTAGTTGACAACAATCGGTGTCCGACTGACGCAAATTGATGTTTGCGAACACATCAGGACGCGTTACAAGAACATTAATTACGGTTATCTACACTGTATCTGGTGTCCCGTTAACAGCGTTTCTTACGAGGAAACAAGCATTGTTCAAATTATCGTACGAATTAAGTAAACCCCGCGCGTGTTAATAAAAACGAAAATACGTCACGGTTATTCCGTGCGTGGAAAAGTGAACAAATAATCGGTACAACCGTGTGTATATGTACTGCTTGCAGCCAATAGAGGATATTATTCAAACGCAACCACCGCGTTTATCCCCGTATCAGAGATGGAATCAATTTCCAGTCGTTATTCATACGAGATGGTAGTTAAGCGTCGGTTTCATTTTAACTTTAAATAGTTTCACACGCGAAAACGCGCCGACAAACGTTCACGGTGCAGTATATGCATCGATACCCGGGGCCATCAGTTCAATCATTTTGCTTGCTTTCCAACCAGCTTCACTCGATGCCTTAACGCTACAAAAAATCTCGAATCCGACCGATTTTGATTCGTACAATACGTAACGCTGCTTGATACGCGTTTATCAGTTTAATGATGAATAGCGGTTTCAATTTGCCGGAGTAACCGGAGATTTTGGTTGCGCTGCGCTCTGGGGATCATTATTTCATGCGCGTGAGGATTTAATTCCAACAATATGTCCATATATTCTCGTTTTGATGCGTCTCTACCTGGATATAAGGATTAATAATATCTCACCTAACTGTTAAATAAGTCCTGTAATCATAATCCTTCAATAAATCACATAATTCATGAAAATATTACAAATTATATTCCAGCAATGATATATTTCGTTCTAATCCGTTATGTATGGATGCATGTATGTTCGTACACAGGTTTCCTGGGTCAGGCACAGGGATATTCATCTGTTGACCGTCGGCGTTGAAACTTACACGTCCGACCAAAGATTCGTTGCATCCCACTTCCCCGGGACCGAGGACTGGACGCTGCAAGTGAAATACCCACAGCGTCGTGACTCCGGAATCTACGAGTGTCAAGTGTCAACGACTCCGCCGATCGGTCATTCCATGCATCTATCCGTCGTCGGTTAGTTGAGAAACTTCTATCACTTTTCCTATAGTGTACCCATTTCGATTTTTTGCTCGTGTTGTCTCCTTGCAATCTTGCTGTCGAATCCGGGCGGTCGCGTCGCTCCCCAGTTTCGTTGCCCGATACCCGTTAATTTTATTTTCACCCCGTACGTCCATCAGGATCCGCCCTCGCTCTCCTAACCCGACCCGTAAACACTCGACCGTATTTTCTAATCGGAACGGCTTTTCCAATTTCGACTTTACTCCAAATTTCAATTAAACGGTCACCCTTTTATTTTTTTCGTTTGTTTGCTTGCAGCCAATTTGCGTTCCGCGAAACCGAAACGAAGAACAAACACGGCGTACGCGCGTTTTTTATGCTTTCTTTCCCGCCGTTGTGTTAGTGATATTGCACCGTTTATACATACGTATACACTTACATGTTTTTGCGTTTTTTATTTTTTCCCCGATAGCAGAAATTATTGCGATCGCTGTAATTCATCGGTTCTATTCTCTATTCTGCAGAGCCTATCACGTCGATCGTCGGGGAACCAGAAATGTACATAAACAAGGACAGCACCATGAATCTCACTTGCGTGGTACGTCACAGTCCCGAGCCACCGACCGCCATTTATTGGACCCACGATGACGAGGTATTTCACTCTTGATACGTATATGTACTGTGCATGTATTTAAACGCGGGCAAGCGAATGCGTGAAAATTATTTCACCCTCTTTCGTACAAATTATCGCGGTGCAGAAAGAAGGAGCTGAAAAGTAGGGCGGCCAGAACATTATTGATCACCATTAACGCGCGGGATGAACGTAACTTTAATACCGGATTCGTGAACCGCACGGTCTTGTTTTTTTTTCTTTTTTTTTTTCACTTTAATTTACGCGTATGTAGATAGAGATCTCGCGATATCGCAACGATAGAAGCAACGATACGGGAATCCCGTTGAAAATCCGATCGACTAATGATAACGACGTTTAACGGGCAATTTGAACAAATTCAATTTGACGAGTTGGAAGAGTTTCGAAGTCGCGTCGAAACGACGCGGAGCGATAACGAGGCATCGGGCAGGGGTTGGCGTGGGGCTTGGTCGAGGGAAAATTTTCCAACGTAGGTATGTATTGTATGTGAGTTACGAACATTGTTCGCGCGACACAGGGCCGTAGTCACGAGTGGTATCGAGCACTTGATTATATAATTTCCCTCAACTGGGTTAAACGAATATTTGAGGAGACTCCGGGCAAGGTTAATTTTTCTCTTTTTGTTTTCGCCTCCCTCTCTTTTCCTCTTCATCGATTTTTAATATTCTCCGTTCTAAACGAATCCACGGATATCGAACAGAAGTCGATTTCTCTCGAAACACCTGTTCTCCTATCTTAATCTAAATCAAGTTTTTTGGTCCGCGCTTTGGCAAATAGATTTTGCGACGGTCGATCTAAAAAGATTTGTAAAACAATTTCCTTATACAGATATTATCGACGAGCCCCGCGAGTGGAGTCGAAATTATTCAAATAGTAGTTTATAAAATGAATTATTCAATTATTTCCCGCAGATCTGGTCGCCGCGTATTCGGCATACGAAACGAACCGCGACTTGCTCGGCATCTTTAGAAATTTACAATCTCTCGTTGAATTTTGATCGCGGGCTCGAATCTCCGAAATCTCTTTCTACTATCACCATTCGCGTTCTGTGAAAGTTTTCACCTTGTTCCAGGCGCGCCCCTGAATTAGATATAGCACTCGATTATAGGTCGATTCCCTGACTTGTTATCTACCGGATATTTCGTATCATTGATATTCGTTTAGCGGTAGATCGTTTTATTATTCATTTCATTACGAAATCTACCCTCTTAACTTACACCCTCCTATATACATATAATATAGCTCCGTATCTTAGGGTGCCTGAACGCGAGGCAATGAATAAAACTATCCACCTAGAGACCAGCCCGATACCTGTTCCCCATCCCGATTTTCACCCTCCGGTTACTTTCTCTCTTTCCCATTTCTCTCGAGTCCTTTGCACACGCCCTCTTTGTTTCTCTTCTTCTCTACATTCTCTCTTACAATTCCAGCTGACTCTCTTTTTTATCTTCTCCGCTATATTCCTCTATCTCTTGAACTTCCTCCAGCAGCCTGCCGCATCTTTTTCATCCGCTTCCTCTCCGTTTCACCTGTCTCTTTCCCACCACTAGCCGCATTGTCTCTCCCGTCCATCCTTCTTAAGAGTGTCAGTTCTCTCTGGCAGCTGGTCTCTTTTGTGTACCACCGCGCCTGTCTTTACAATTCGCAGCCTTCCACTGTCTTTCACTCATTTTTAGTCCCATTCCTCTCTTTCCTTTCTCTTCTCTCTCTCTCTCTCTCTCTCTGCCTCTTTCGTGCTCATTATCTCTGTCGCGTTTTATGCAACGGCATACGCCCACTTTCGCGCTCTATCCCTTCAGCTCGGCGCAATTTTCCATCGTTGTCACTTCTGTTTCTCTCCTCTCTCGTTCTCATCTTTTCACCCCTTCCACAGAGCGCACCCCTGTTTTCTACCCTATCGACTTTGCAGTCATTCTGTCTCTTCTTTGTCGCTCTATCAGCTCTCGCGTTCCTCTCCACCGCGTCCCCTCCGTTATTTATCTCGCCTGTTCCCCCTTGAAACAGGGTGCTTCTGGTGTATCAGCTTCGTCTCGCTCGCACGCATTCCTCGTTCAACGGCAGACAGTGTGTCAACACCTACGCTGAACACCCTCTGCTATATATTGCTGCTACCTTCCTCCTCCTCGATCGTTTCTCTCTTTTTAACCCTTCCTTCGACGTTTGCGCCCGCACCTTTATTCATCCCCTTTTCCATGCCACGTTCCCCTTCCCCTTACAACTCTCCACTTGTGTCCCTGTCTATTCTTCCACTCATTTTACTCTTCTTCGTGCCCCCCCTTCTCATGCCTCTCTTCTTTCCTTTTTCACCCACGAGTTGCCAGCATATTCCGTCGCTGAAAGTTTGCGATCGCTCGAGGTGTTTTTTAAGGACGATGGTGAGATTTTTTATGGACCGGGATAGGGAGAGAGTTTTTTAAGTCCGAACCTAATCCTCTGACCATTAAGTAAACTTCTGGCGTAATTAATTTCGGATCGATGGGAAAATTTTTAAGGGAGATTTAATACCGATGGAATTAGGCAGATTGTTCCGAACTCTTAATTGGAAGGCACCCGTAATAAGCATCGTAAGAAACTAGACTTCAACTTGTTAAATCTCTGTATAACAAAGATGCTACGTATGCAAATGTCACGCTTAAGGATAGGTACTCTGGCCGACGCAATGAGATCGGGTAATAAAATAAGAAGAATGTAGAATTTAAATTATGCCCCGTAAGAAAATGTCCGCGGTAAAAGTCAATTAGGAGAAGAAAAATGTACGAGACTCGCCAGGAAATTCTGCTCCAGATTTTATCTGTAGTTACTAATGAATACCATGTAGAAGGGTAACTAATAACAAAAGGAAAGAGGAACTTTCTTACTGATCTAATAACCGTTATTGGTCACGGCGACGATCTTTTTAAGGCAACTACGTATCGTCCCGTTAATAGGGTCAAAAATGTTTTTCGTGTTTCACAACGTGTGTGCAACCCTTTACTTTACGGGTTGGTCTCCTGGGACGTCGTGGCGGTGCCGGTCTCCTCTTTTTTTCTTGTTCTCCGCCTGCTCGATATCGTTCCTTCTCTATTCAATAAGGCAATGAATCAATTAGTCAATAAAAAACTTTTTCACCTCCCGCCCGTCAGCGTTCCTTTTTTCTTTATTTCCATCCCCCGTTCTATCCGAGTTTCTCTCGTTTTCTTTTTCGACCGTCGTAACTTCGCCTTACTCCATTTCTATTTTTTTCCACGTTCTTACTCGGGCTCTCGTCCTTTTGTTACTTCTTCGCCGACTACCCTTAAGGCGGGGTTCTAACCGAAGTTTCTTTTTCACGATTCACTCGGCGAACACCGAGGGACGGGTGCCCGTGCAGAATGATCGGATTGCTTTCCTTCCACTCTTTTTTTCGTTCTATCGTAATCAAGATTTCGTTGTTTACAAGGAGAAGAAAGATTAATTATAGCCCCGACGAATGACAGCTGATTATAGATTTTCTATCTGCAAGCCAATAATTGATATTAATAGGCTGCTTGATACTAGGGCAATAAGAATGTAATAATAGACCGTGGAATTAGTAATGAGCCGAGGCATTAAAAATACCGGCTATATAACTGACGTACAGATACGTCGACTCAAACCATTTTGAACCAGCTTCACTTGCGCATGGAGCCACAGCTGGTTCGAAATCATTTGAGGTATCTGTACACCGCCAATTTAATTTATACGCTCTTCAGTGAGAACATCCTTCCGGATTTCTGAAGGCTCCGTTCCCAGTTTGAATGCTGTTTGCGCTTTATTATTTTATATTCATCCGAGAAATCGTTTAATAGTACATTCAAAAGTATAAATTTTGATTCAGGATCCGGATCAATTGTACGGAGTTATGAATCAGTTTCTTAATCACTCGGCGACCGTTTCCGGTACAGACTCCTTTCTCCTTGAGCCTATTACGGCTTCCTGCTGGCCACTTCGTTAAACTTCCACGCGAACTATTCCGTCTGCTACGCTCTTTCTTTTATTTCCGCTTGCAGTTTCGCTACTTTACCACCTGCGACGCTTCTTTGTTAGTTAAACATAACTTTTCGCCCGGTCCTAGCGCCCTGTTGTCTCTTATTTTCTTGTTACAACGTTTTTTTGCGTCCAAGTTTTCTTAGTATTACCCAAGGCACCGCAATACCACGGAGTCGGCGTTATTTGGGTATTATTTTTCCTCTTTTCTTCTGTTTTATGGCCCAATATTATTTGCGTTTGAAATATTTCTTCTGAAACATTTCGGCTCGAGTTGATTGGATTGGAATTTTGTTAAATTTCGTAAATTGAACCAGTGCGGCGGAGATGCTCGGAGAGGATTGGAAATTGTTGCGCGAGAGCGAAACGAGTGCGCCAGTATTTGTTTGCTGTAAATTCATATTGCGAAAGGATGATATGCATAGACTGAATTTAATGAAGCGAAACTGGCCGTAATAATGCTCGTAAATAATGATGCCCAGGTATTTTCGTAAACTGGTATACATATTATACAATGCCGATAGTTACGTAACTTTATTTCCACGGAAAATATTCATGGTTATTCCAAGTTTTTATCACGGAACGTTTTAATTATCTGGAATCATAAAAAGCTGATACTTTTGACATGTGGTTAACGAAGCAAAGCATTCACTTCCTCCCATTATTTACGAGATCCTGTTCTACCTAAATGTATCAAATTTTGTTTATAATTAGTTGGAGATCAGATTCTTGTATAATACTTCGAAGATCCAAGAATAGGAAATCGATACACGCTGTTCTTTCGCCCAAGCCACTTTCGCATAAATATTTCATTACTGTGATAATACATTTAATCCATTCAGTTTCAAGTAGCGAAATAAAGCAAAATATATGTATATAATTATTTATTACTTATAAAAATATATGAGGGAGAACATAAATGTGTTCAAAAAAATTTTTCACTGCTAATTCTTGTGTACTAAATCCTGCATTTACGTCGCTTACGAAACCTTCTCGAGTTGAAACTGTAATTTATT